TAATGTCATTAAGTTTGACGTCAAACATGGGCTTCCTCCCATGGAGCACTCTCTCTTTTATGCTTTTGAGCTAGGCTCAGCTAGGTTCCCATTTTTAGTTGATTTCACGATCATGTGTCACTTCATCTTCATCTCTCCGTCTCTTTGCAAGGATACGATCGTAGTTGAATCCATTGGGTTGATGACGATTGATGAAATCCTGATACTCTTTTGTTGCCTCATACTCCAGTTCCTTGATCTTCTCAAGCATCATCTTTTCCCTTGTACTGGCTATTCTGAGTGCCATTTGAGCTTCTTTCAATCCAAGAGTTGGCGGAACCTTGTTCAACTTTCCTCCATAGTTTGTGTCGAGATCATGGTGATAAACTATTATGTTTTCTAGATTCTCAAGATGAGATCCAAATTAAAATTTGATCTCATAATCTGAATCATCCTACGGATAATCCTCAAGTTAATCACTCCTTTTGATTGGCTTCTCCACTTTGTGCAAGAGCTTCCCAATGTGTAGGGTTACCTCTCCGTTAACAACATCAATTCTTGCTCCAGTAGTGGCAAGGAATGCGCTTCCAAATAGGGTTGAATGCTATTTGCTTGTCTCCATGTCAATCACGAGGTAGTCGTTAAAGAAAATGAATGGACCAACTTGGGTGCTTATGCCTCGGACAATTCCAAGAGCATTACAATGTGTGTTGTTGGCTAGCTTGATTTCTATATTGGCTAGCTTGATTTCTATATTGGCATACTCCATGTTGGTTTGTCCCATCTCTTCGTATTTATGCAATGGTAGTATGTTGACACTTGAGCCAAAGTCAACTAGACCATTTACCGTGTGATGGTCATCCAAAAGACATGTGATGACTATATGCTAGGATCCTCCCTTACTTCATTAACTAGAACAAATTCTGCATAACCCAAGAGGGTTTCTTGATTGTGGTTTACATATCTTTGACCCTGTCATCTTCTTCCATTAAAATCTCCAGCTTCTCGTTAAGAAGTTCTATGGAAATCATCTACTCCAAAAGCTTCTATCATATTTCTAAAGATGGGTGGATAGTTGGATATTCAGTTTCCTTCTTCTCTTCTTCCTTTTTCATGCTTGGAAAACTTTTGGTTGCTATTATCATTGTCGAGATAACTTTGACTACCACCCTCTTTAGATTGTAATCAATGTCGTTTGGGAGGTTGCTTTGAGGCTTTTGGGTTTGGTGACTCGCTAAAACACAACACCAAACTACGGCCAAGTATAATCGTAGAATGGAAATGTAAAATAGTGGTTAAGTTTTACTTATCAAGTCAGGGCCTAGATTTACTGCCTATTCCGTGAACTTATATTATCTAGCGATAAAAGTTGAGTGGGAATGAGCTTAAACTATAGTAGAAAGAAAGCACCAAGTTGTTCGGTTTTCTAAAGTAAGAGAAGTGTAACTCGGAAATGAGTCCCCTTAGCTCCGTGATTAGGTCCAAGTTGTAATTCCTTTTGGTTGCTTTACTATTGATTAGACTGCGAAAGATCCGAAAATAGCTTGGAATCTCTTAAGCTGACCAAGCCCTCTTAGACAGAATACCCGAAAGGCAAATAGCCTTCACCGGGTTAGACTGCTAAGGCGATTCACAAAGATCTCCTCTACTTGGAACTAATTCTAGTACAAAGCAGTGAATTGACTGACTCTCATACAATCAATTCACTACTATCAATTGAAGAAGCTCTAATAAACTAATTAGATTATATCTATCATAGGTTAAAGAAGAAGTCAAGAGAACTTGACCAAGATTCAATTGACTCAATAAAAATGCCTCAATATATAAAAATCATCCAGTATAACATCCAAAAGTCATTACAAACAAGATCCCTAACACATGGAACTAGTGTTCCTCATACCCAAGTGAGAGAGGGGTTTACTCCAGAGAGAGAGAGGGGGGGGGGGGGGAAACAGAAATCAAAATAGTCATACTCATAATGATGTGTATAATCTGCTCTAGGATGTCAATCTTCACTCCTTGGGACGCAATTTGGGCTTAATGGTGAGAAATCCACTCCAAATAGCTCTGAAGGTTTGTTCTTTGTCACTTTCTGTCTCTGGAACTCTGTTTTGGCTCTAAAAAGGCCAATCCCCTTCCTTTGGCTCGAATATGCCTATTTACCCAGATACTGGGCAAAATACGGGCAAGAGCACGGTCTTCCTTCCTCTTCTTAAATTACCTTATAGCTAAAATGTATAAAACGTATTTATCGTGGTTGGAACACGTCATGTTTTTCATAACTTAATGAGATTAGCAATAGCAAATCTCATTTTGTACAATTCGGATCAATGAGATTAGCAATAGCAAATCTTAGTTGGTACAATTTGAAAGTGATGACATGCTTGGATCACACAAATTAACAGCCACTCAATTTAGCTACAGGTGGATTTAGCTTTAAGACTAGTGGTCTTGTGAGGATGCGGCATTGATTTCGAACAAATAAATGAATCAAGCACAAGTATTAATATTTTACTAAAATGAATCACAATTACAATAATTACAATAACTAAAACGCAAATACAGTTTAAAAAACACACACAAAAGAAAAAGGCCAAGTCAATTGATCAGATCCGGTCAACAAAGTCAAAGCCCAAAATCAAGCCCAATTAAAGTCAAAGTCAACCCTCAATCAAACCAGTCAACAAAGTCTAACCGGTCTGACCCAACTTAGATTGGTCCGACCCAGAGACGACATTGTTGTAAGCTTGGGGAACAAGTCGTTTTTTCCCTATAAAAACTCATCGGATCCTCTGTAAAAGGGAAGACGAAGAGAGAGAAAAATAAAAAGAAAAGCAGAGTTCCCCTTTACAAACCAAACAAAAAGAAAAGCATAGTTCTTCCTTGCATCTCATCTTTCTTAGACCAAGAGCAAACTCCCTCTCTTCTTCTTCTTCATCTCTTGATCATTCCCAAAATCCTTCCCTTCCAAAACACACACGAGAGTAGCCACCGAATAGAGACAAACAAAAGAAAATTCTTTCCACTTCTATTTTTCTTCTTAGCCGACACATAGCAACAACAAAACCATAAAGGACAGAAAGGAGTAGCAAAAAGGCAGCAAGAAATCCACAAGAAGTTCGGTCAAAGAATGAGCAGAATAATCACCAAGCCACAAAGATGAGGTTGGTAATCTTAAACGCCAATAATTTATCATCACAAGTATCATTTCTACATTACTTCAAAGCTTCATTTAATTCAATCCAAACGCCAAGCATAATCCTTGAGCAGAAAACATATACAAACTGATTAGAATTCAAGAAAGTATTTTAAAATACCTTGCCTTTGGCACCCCTCTCACTCTAGATAACCAAACCCATCATTTCCTAACCATCTAAGCAGATTTCATATTCAATTACCATAGACCCACAAACTTCCCAAATAAAAAATCACACAATTACCACCAAGCTTCCAATTCCAAACCCACCATCAACACCCACAGAATGTCCAACCATGATCCATAGTCACATGACTTTTCAGATTCAAACTAATCATATAAATAACACCTAGGGGTTGTTTGGATGAGGAATTTTAACAGATCAATTTGACACAATTGTCTCGTTTTGAGACAATTGTACCAAATTGCCTCGTTTGCCAGCAAAAAATTTGGATGGATCAATCTGCCTGAGGTATTTTGAATTGTTCCGTTTTGAGTCAATTTCAATTACCTGGGGTGGGGGCAGGTAATTCGAATTGACTCATTTTAATTGCCTCGTTTATAAAACGAGACAATTGATCAAATTGACTCATTTCTAGATTGATCCATCCAAACGATCCCCTAATCACAAACAATAGCAGTGTTTAGTCATTTTAAAATGAAAGGTTCTCTATTCTCTGATTTCCTTGCGTTTAACCAATTTAGGAACTTTAACAAACATCTACATTTTGAAGTTTTAATATAAGCATCATAAACACCATCCATTTCGTTATATCATATTATTCCAAGTTCATACAAGTCACAGCCAAAACTCAAAGTCCCAAAACCTAGTTATGAATACACTTTTTCGAACCAAACCCACAAGTTATCCAATCCAACCCACCTTAAACACACACCGTTTCTGAAATCAAAACAATATAACTTTCAGATTCACAAATCCACTATCTTCTTAAGAGAGTCATAACAGTAAAGCTTCTTTTCTAACCTAGCATACCGCAAGTAGTAGTAGGGGTGAACAAACACACCCGCAAACCGACCCACCCGTCCAATCCGACCCAACCCACCCGTATTTATCGCTAAAACGAAGATTTTGGGTTGGGTGACGGTTTTCTTTTGTGCAACCCGCCTCTTTTGGGTTGGGTTTGGATTTTGGATTACACAACCCGTAGAACCCGACCCAACCCGTGTTCCAACTATTAGTATGAGTTCGTATCTAAAAAATATTTATGTCGTATATAGCCATACTTATGTGAAAATTAAGATATTTCGCCATGTTTTTCTATCATGGTCTCCCTAATCTAATGCATTCTTCGACTTAAAGTTTAGACATAAATTGAATATAATTATGATTCACGTAATCATTTTTCTTGTATACAATTTTAATAGAATAACATATTATTGATGCATTTGTTTATAACCTTTTTAGCCTATTTCAACAAATATCGTGAAAAAAGCTAGACATATGTTGAAGTAAATCACATTTTATTCAAACTCAAACAACATTTGTGAATTTTGATACCTTTCACCTCGATTTATTTGTTTGAAATTTTAATTAGTTATAAAATATTTTTATGGTGTATAATAATTATATATTTTATGTTGGGTTGGGTTTTTACTTAAAAATATCGTCAACCCGACCCAACCCAATTAGAAACAAACCGTAGGGTTTAAATTTTTTTGGGTGGGTTTGGGTTTGATAATTCCCAAACCGTAGTGCATGGGTCGGGTGATTAAAATACTTAAACCCGAACCAACCGACCCATGTACACCCCTAAGTAGTAGTGGTGACTTAAAGGGGTTTTTAGCTTCTTTCTAACCTTCACTAGCAATTTGTTTTAGTGAATTGAATCATACATGTGCATCTCATTTTCTTTAACTAAAACCAACCTTTTGAGGTTTCACAATTATCACAACCAAATTAATAAACAAAGTAAAATCTAAAACAACAAACAAATCACCATACAAATAAATAAAAACTAGGAACAAAAACTTCAAAAATCAATAACTTACCAACGTTCTTCCCCTGCTAATGCCGGCATCGGAGGCCTACGGTCGTCACCGGCTTTGCCGTCTCCGACGTCCCTCCTCCTCCTCCTCCCTCTTCCATGTCCAAGATCGAAACCATGAAACAGGGCAAAACAAAAACCAACATCTTAATCCAAAGCTAAACAAAAACCAGAAAATCAACAAAAGTAACCATGACTGGATTTGTGACCCTATCCAGCTGTCAGTGGAGATCGCTACACTGATGGCGAAGCCAACGGCTTGCCTCCTCCCTTCTTCCGTCTTCCCGTGATCCGGAATACAAAATCCAAACCGGAACCCAAATCACAAAAAACAACAATCATATTCGAAAATCCCAGATAAACCCCAAATGTGAAACGTAAAAATGCAAAAGAAATTATCTTACCTCCGCCACCGTCAGTCGCTGGTCCAGCTACCGCCTGCCGGCCATTGTGTTCCCCTGTTCTCTGTCTCCTCCCACCGCCGGCGAAACCTCACTGTCTCTGTTAGCGGCTGTTCCTCCTCTCCCCAAGATCCATAAACCTCTTCCTTTTCTCCATTTCTTGGTTAGAATTAAGAAAATTGAAAATAAAACTACTCAAACACAGAAAAAAATTCAAAATATATTCATTCCCCGGAGGGTCCATATCAAAACTTAAAATGAGTTTATAGAGCGTTTTGGGTTCCTTTCTATAAAATCTCCCAATTTAACCGAACTACGTGGACTTTGATCCCGACTACTCGGGTACGTAGGCAACCAATAGGTTCAAGTCCAACTAACGAATTTTCTCCCCATTTCCATGTGTGAGACTCAACATTTAAAAACCTATCAATTTAAACGAACTACGTGGACTTTGATCCCGACTACTCGGGTACGTAGGCAACCAATAGGTTCGAGTCCAACTAACAAATTTTCTCCACATTCCTAATGTATGAGACTCAACATTTAAAACTCAAAATTACATCGAACTACGTGGACTTTGATCTCGACTACTCGGGTACGTAGGCAACCAATAGGTTCGAGTCCAACTAACGAATTTTCTCCGCATTTCCATGTGTGAGACTCAACATTTAAAAACCTATCAATTTAAACGAACTACGTGGACTTTGATCCCGACTACTCGGGTACGTAGCCAACTAATAGGTTCGAGTCCAACTAACAAATTTTCTCCACATTCCTAATGTACGAGACTCAACATTTAAAATTCAAAATTACATCGAACTACGTGGACTTTGATCCCGACTACTCGGGTATGTAGGCAACCAATAGGTTCGAGTCCAACTAATCTATGGACGTATGACCGAATCATAATAGATAAACACCTAATTCATCGAATCTTATAATTAAATACATAATAAAGCCAAATAATAATGCACCCAACCCTTTAAAACTTATCAATTTGAGTAGTACCAATTTTTGGGCGTTGAGGGGTGTGAATACACTTCCCCACACATAATTGTACTCCCGAACCCAAGATCTCCTAGCTCGCACCAAATCCCGGTTTCGACCCTAAGGTTTCGAACGACCCAAATAGTGTTCGACCCACTACAACTAAGGTCGATGGCGACTCCTAGCATGACGCGACGGGTCCCCCGATTCCGAGGTGCGATTGCGACAGTGGCGACTCTGATGGGGACTATACGAGAGTCAAACTACATTAACAATCGATAAGCATTTTCGTACTTTCTTAATGGGTGTTATATGTTTACTACATTATTTACGCTTTAAATTTCTATTGTATTTAATTGTTTGCATTCATGCATAAAAGCTCTATTCCCGAGTTGTCCTTGTAGAAAAAAGGAAGAAAGTAGTGTGACTCCTACAATAGTAGAGGGAATGCGAAACTTCCCAACCAGGTTGAATTCAAATCCGAGGATGATTTGTGGTACCACGCTAAACTCAAGAGGGTCATTGTGTGGTACAACTTGGGAGCCTAATTCCTCAGGATCCATGTCTAGCATATAGTTTGCTTATAAACTACCCAAAATTGCAACTTATCCCAGAGCCTACCTGAAAACACGAAGTTATGCTGCCGAAAAAACCCAAGGTTTACCTAAATAGGGTGATTTTTCTTTATGATGTTGTTGTTTGTGTAATGAATCTTGTTTATATGTTGTTCATGAACGACATGATTTGATCATATGCATAAAGACACTCACAATTCATAACATTATCATATCCTCGTTCTTTCGACTCTTAAACACAATGTGTGTACAAATTTGCATGTGAATCCATCAATATTCATATTGCACGTGCACATTCATATCATAAATATCACATATACATTTCATTCAACAATAGAGGGAAATTCAAACAATAATAAATCACGACCAAATTTTTTTTGAAAAATTGATCATCTACAAAAGAAAAATTCATACCTTAAGTACTTGATCAGATTCAAAGTTGTGATTGTTATGGAGTCATTGGAGAAGAAACTTGATGACATCAAAAGGGTTAGCAGTACTTGAAGAAATGAAGTAGCGAGCTGGTATGTTCATGAGTTTGTCAGAAAGTTCGAAGAAAACCGAGATCAACAAGACAATACCTTGACGACAACCCACCGCCAAATTATGGAGATCCCTATGCAAATTACTAGAGAAGGCTTGATTCAAGGCTCATGTAGACCCGCACAATCAAATAAATGTCTAGATACTCTAGCATATTGATGGAATGTACCAACCTTTCTATCATAATAAAGAATGAAGTGTTTCTCGCATTTCCACCTACTTGGAATATTGTATGACTATTACCAATCTTGACATAAGACTTTGCGTCAATGATTCTTTTTCAAAATGACAAATATCTCTTCCAAATCTGACGGACCCTCTATTTCACCACCTATCATCTCATACCAATGAGTAATAAGGATGCCAATAAAACCAACACAATTTCCTCCACGTGGCTACAATGGTGGCATGGCAATATATTTACCATTTACATGAATTGGGTGTTTAAGTGGTGTGCTAGCTAGAGATTTAGCTCTCTAGCCACCCACTACCCTATTTACCCATTCAACTACACATGGAGTAATGGTGGAAAGACCAAGGTTTCTCTTCTCCATCCATTGATCAATTAATTAGTTTGTTATTTACCTCTATGTTAAGTCCCAGGGAAAACACCTAACAAATTACTTTCCCCATGCTTCCACGTGTGGAAAGGATGTGGCAAATTCACCACTTGGCTCTACCCATGCATACCATGCAAAAAATTAGAACTTATCTTTGTTGTAGGTTGGTAAGTATGCATTTCTCTCAAGCCTAATACATTTGATCACTCATTCCTCCTAAAGCCACGTGGACACGAGGTGGATGATTACTTGATTAATCATAATTACCTATGCCCAACAACCCATTTCCATTTCATGTTACCATTACACGTGGAGAAGAGGGGAATGAAGACAACTATATCCCCAAATGTATAATTATCTGGTTGATGGAGCTCTTTCATTAAAACAAACATAACACCCTATCTCCTTATATCACACCTGGTATTGAAAACATGGAGGTAGGGTATTGTTGTTCATTTGCTTTTACTTAATTATCTCTACCAAGTCAAATCAACCATTTATAAGCCACCTCCACTTACACGTGGTTAAACGAGAAGAGAGGTAAGCTTATTTTCCTTTTAGTCGTTCAGTTTTATGTGTCAGAATCAACCAATGCTATGGCACTTGTTTTGGTTGATTAAGTATTTTGTTATTTTATTTTTTATACGCCATCCACGTCAGAAGCAGGAAGCACCTATAAATAGGATGCTCATTTATACTTTCTTAGTAGTTCATTTCAGATAAAAACTCTGAATCTCTCTCTAGAGCCGGCTTACTATGCCGCTCCCGATTACTCTCCTCTCAAACACTGACTTGAGCTTCGGAGTAGATCCCTGCCGACCACCGTCGGCGGGTCCTTTTGTTTTGCAGGTGCCCATCTTGGAGGCTGGTGGCGGACGTTGGCCAGGAAGATCGGCAATCACCGGACCTCAAACACATTGAAGCAGGATCCTCCAAGCTTGGCATCAACAAAATCCTTTAAAATCTACCTTTCTTCTGTGGACATGGGAACATTAAAATTGCATTTCATGTTTTCAAGTTAAGCCTTGAGATTTTCACATTAAGCAAACATATACACCCCACTGGTGTCGAGTGATTATAAATACTTGATGAGTGTCAAATTTTTTTTGTACCCCACTAATAATCAGAGTGTGCACCCTACTAATATCGAGAGTTTGAGCACCCCATCAGTGTTGAGAGTGTAAACTCCCCACCGGTGTCCACAGATTATGTGAGCTAAATAGTCAAGGGTGTGACGAGTATACGACACTAGGCTACTTGTAGAAGTTTGTCACTACCATAACCAATCTCCCCTATCAAATCACAGCTCGGCTAGATAGGAGATTGAGTAGCCAAATTAAGATACACAAGAAGTGAGATGCCAACATCAAAATAGCCGAGTTCTCACAAGACCATCGTGGCCAAAATATTGGCGAAGTTGAATGATCATATTTGACGAACTCACATAATAAGTTGTGGGATGGATAAACATAAATCATTTCATTATTTTGAATGCTGACATCTCCCAAAATACAATGACTGAGCGGAAGAACTACTCATACAGCACGACAAAGACTCGACATCAATTATATGTCTTCTTCCCGAGAGGATGGCCAATTTGCGTAGTCAACAAGGAATACTCACAAAGACCGACATATTGACAAATCTCCTAAATTATTGGTGCTCGTACACAAAAACAGAAAAGTCAAAATGACAACATGTAGGGAGCATTACAAGGCCAAGTAAGTCCCACACAAAAAAAAACCCAAAAAGGCAATGAAAAATCAAAAGAAAACAGAAAAAGCTCGTGGGACTTACGCGTTAGATACCCTAGCATGAATACT